TAATTTTGTCAATTTATACTCAAATTTGTTTATTTATTTTTAATATAAATCCATCATCTATTTTTATTAAGTAAAATTAATAAAAAAAAGTATTTTACTCATCAACTACAAAATGTATAATCACACCATTAATTAGAGTAATAAAAATATTTAAAATTTTAAAAACCACAAATATCATAATCAAGTCACAAAGTTTTGTGATATAAAACACAAAATACATAACGGTATCACTAATTGGTGTAACAAAATTGTTTAAAATTATAGAAAATCACAAATGTCGTAATTAATTTCCAAAATTTCGTAACATTAACCAAAAATTATGTAACTATCTACTAATTGGTGTAACAAAAACATCTAAAATTTTTAAAAACCACAAATGTCATAACCAACTCACAAAATTTAATAGCATCAACTACAAAATACGTAACTGCACCACTAATTGGCATAATAAAAATAATCAAAAATTTTACAAATCACAAATGTCATAACCAACCCATAAAATTTCGTAACATCAATCACAAAATGTATAACAACACAACTAATTGATGTAGCAAAAATATCCAAGTTTTTTATAAACCACAAATATTGTAATCAAACAACAAAGTTTCATAACAATTATTATAAAATGACTAATAAATCACTAAAAATCGTTGAATTACCAATCGGGATCTCTCATGACATAGAGAAAACAAAATGTAATGACAATCATTAAATAATTTAATCAACGACTTAAATCCATGGAACAAAAAATGAGAGTTAGAGAAGATTAACCAGTAGAGCGAGAGGAAAGGGAATATGAGAAAGAGAGATTGAACGAGCTTATCGCCTATGAAAATGACGTCAAAGGTGGTGTCGTTTTCAATAAGGAACATCGGAGATATCTACAATGACAGTAAGGAATGAGAGAGATGCTCGAGGGATGAAAAGGACTGAGATAGCAGAACAGTACAACAAAATGTGTAATATTCATTTTTTCAACAGTTCTATAACACATGCACAAATTGATAATAACAAAACCTTTCAAATCATAACTACGGCCAAAAGTTTGTATATGTATGACATATTAATGTGAAAAATGTAGAGTTTCGAGATAGATGCATTTACTAGATAGAGAAATATCACCAGAATGAATAGTGTTGAAATAGACAGAGAGAGTAGTGACGAGTTCAATGATCTATTGCAGAGACCCAGGACTAGAGAGATGAAGAATCCAGTGAGGAAGAACTATCAACGATGGTCATTTCGATGATTTGAGTGAAATAGAGAAGTCTAATTAAGAAATAGAGAGAGCTTAGGCATAACTAGGACAAATCAAGGGAAAGAAAATTGAGTGGAGAAAAAAAAAAGTTAGAAAAAAAAATTTAAGAGAAAAATTATTTAGTAAAACAAAATAAAATTACGTCATAGATAATTTTTTTCACCATATTTTTTATTAAAATTTAGTTAAAATATATATATATATATATATATGTATATATATATATATATATATATGTCTATAAGTGTATATAGATATTTTAAAAAGTATATCGTTTGTATATTATTATTTCTATTATATTTAATGAAGATATTATGACTAAAAATAAATCTAAAATAGAGATAAGTAATCAATTGTAATTGTCACTTAAGGATGACACTTCAAAATTAATTGAAAGAGTTGACAGTTCAGAGAGAATGAGAGTTTAAGAGACGGATTTGTTTGTAAGAAATAAAATGAGAAATGGATGGTATTTATATGACTTGGGGAATGGGGAGGGGAAGGGGTTAATTTATACATATAAAAATAAAAAAATAAAAAATAAAAAATTGGATGTTGGTGGAATTAACGGTTATATGATTGTTTTAAATTTTTTACCATTGCACTAACAGAGGGGGGTAGGGAGCCGTTGGGGTCGAGGCGAGCTCACGGGTCCATAACACACCAGGGCCGGGTCGGGCTCTAGAACACATAGCCTAGGGTCTTAGGTTGGGCTTAGGCTCGGGCCTGTTTGGGCCTACCTAGAGCGCAAGGACTTGGGGTGTGCCACAAGCTCGTGGGTCAAATTTACACCCCTATATGTGAGTAATGGTTATGCGATATGTGATTAGTGATTATGATATATGTGATGGTTATGAAATATGTAATGTTGGTTATGATCAACGTGGTGTGGTTATGAGATATGTGATTAATAATTATGATATATATGATGTTAATTATGAGTTATGTGGGTAATGGTTATGAGATATTTGATTAGTGATTATAAGATATGTGATTTTGGTTATGAGCAAAATAGTGTCAAAGGGTGTTTGGTTATACTATATGTGTTAGTGGTTATAAGATATAAGACATTGGTTATGATCAAAGTGGTGTGGTTATGTGTTAGTTATGAGATATGTGGCTAGTGGTTATGAGATATGTGATGTTGGCTATTAGATATGTGACCGGTGGTTATAAGATATGTGATGTTGGTTATAAGATGTGGTTATGATTCATGTGGGTAGTAGTTGTGAGATATGTGATCAATGGTTGTGAGATATGTGATCAATGGTTGTGAGATATGTAATGTTAGTTATAATCAAAATAGTGTGGTTATGAGCAAAAAGGTGTTACTTATGAGATATGTGACTAGTGGTTGTGAGATATGTGATGTTGGTTACGACAAAAAAGTGTTGGTCATGAGATACGTGACTAGTGACTAGTGGTTATGAGATATGTGATGTTAGTTATGACTCAAAGGGGTTGGTTATGAGATATGGTTATGATTCATGTGAGTAGTAATTATGAGATATGTGATCAATGGTTATCAGATATATAATATTGGTTATAATCAAAGTGGTGTTGGTTATGAAATATGTGATATTAATTATCAACAAAATAGTGTTAGTTATGAGATGTGGTTATGAAATATGTGATATTAATTATGAACAAAATGATGTTGGTTATGAGATGTGGTTGTGACTAAGTTATGATTAATTTGATTATATTATGAAAAAAAAATAATTTTTTAGCCGGTCACTTTTAATAATGTGATTCAATCTTGACCTTTAATTTTTTTTATATACAGTACATTTTTTAAACAAAATGTATTATAGACTTGCCCAACTGATGAGATGGAGTTGGTTGAACGAATTATTATCGATAAGATGCAGAGAAGCAACTGATGAGAAATAAGACGAGTGAAATTTGAGATATTATTCTTGCGTACCTCCGAGAGAGATAATGATAATATATAGAAATCTTCTTCTTCTCCACCTTTTTCTCGCAACAGAGGTCATGAATTTTCCCGGAAACAGAGCACACAAATGCTGGAAAGTGGGAGGAAGAGGATGTTCGTCAGTCAGAGACCTATAAAAAGTACAGAGTCTCAACCGGTAATAGCCGGTCAAGTGCGTCAATGTTTGCAATTCGCTGGCTTTCGAGTCGGTCTGAGTTGTGATACATCTCAATGTATTATACTATAATTATAGATAAAAATCAAAGGCAATACGTAAACAAATTCTTAAAGTTGAAGGAGATAATTTTATTACTCAAATACAAAATGGATTATCCATTATTCAAGCCGCCTCACAAATTTAATATTAAAAAAACAAATGTCATAATCTGGTGATCTTTGACTTCGCATGCCTATCCTCTCTGCGATTTCACATTATATATGGTGTTGAGATGATATTGGGTTTGTTAACAATATTTTCAGAGGATTCATGCATATACGGTGGTAATTTTGATAGAAACTTCCATTAGACTTTGTTTTCAAAATGTAATAAGATAACATTGTAGTCTTCATGATTTAAGATAGAGAAAGTGACAAGGAGTGATATCTACTAGTGTTTCCACAAGTACAGTCGGACAAGCACAAACAGCTGCAACAAAATAGAGGTAGAGCAGGCTAGCCCAGTTTGACAACTTGTTGCCCTTCACATGATTGTTATGTGTGTTGTTTTTGCTCAGTGAAATTTAATTTACCAAAAATAATAAAAAGACTGAAACACAAATTCAGAAGGATGCATAACTATTTGATATCAATCAAGTAGAGAATTGTTCTATTTCGAAGGGATAGGGCAAGACCCTTAAGAGCATATCATTTCCAAACAGCACTTCACAAGCATTTCTAAACAATCTATCATCAACAAAATTGATCTCTAGAACAAGATAAGCAAAGGCTTCGAAAATGATGGCACACAGAAGAAGATAGTGAACCAACTTCATCACAAACATCAAGGTGTAACTTGTAGATAAGCCCTTTCAGAACAAACTGAAGCAGGAACCACTAATAAGACAATCCCAAAACACGAGTCACCAGCCACAGCAAGGTTTGAGGAGAGTCCGATATACACAGCCTTAACCCCTGCACATCCGTGGTTTGAACCCGTAACATCTAGGTCAAACTTACTGGAGGACATTCTAAAAGTATATATATATATATATAAGAAGAGAGCAAATTTTCACTGATTCATATACAGCAACATCATTATTCTATGGCATCAAAGTCAAGGAAGCTCTGTTTTATGGAAAACAGAACATGTACAAGTGGTGCAATGCCAAAGAAGTACTATCTACTTGAATCCTAGTTCTGTTTTACTGAACACGATTTCAAAAAGACATGTAACTAAACATATTGCAAGCTTGGTTTACAATCCAAGGAAATATGTAAGTTCAACAATGGAAATACTCCATAATCAAAAGGTTCAAAGACAAAGGATACAGTTGTAATAGCTTTAACTATAAAGTCACAAGAAAAAAGAAAAAACATCAGTGATGATCACCCATTAAAAAACAAGCATCAAGAAATAAAGGCCACCCATTCAACAGTGTAAATTTAGTTTAACTACCTCTTTCTAGCAAAATCACATATACGGGTTTCCATCAATACACTTCACAAGAGGGTACATGTAGATTCTGAGATCAGCGGGTCAACAATTTTTCAGCCCTAACGTTTATTTAGTTTCAGTATCTACCATTCAAAGTTGAGATTGCAATTGATCCAAAAGGGCAATATGCAAAGTGGAACTGAAATCAAGAATACAACAGAACAAAATATGAAAACTTTTACTTTCAATTTGCAAATCTGATCAAACAGACAGTCACACGCAGCTACTAGCTTGTGAGAAATCTACAAGCAAGATGTAAATCTACAACAGTAAGTGATAGCATAACAACAGCTTCATGAACACAACAAGGTCCTTAACAAGTTACAAATCTTTACACTGCCCTCCTCCACCTTACACCCATGGTACTAAACCATGCTAGAAGATGTTTCTTGAAAACCACGTCCACTGAGTGATGTGCCACTAAATTTACTTAAACACCAAGAAGTATTATCCTGTAAAATTTGTGCATGATAATACACCACCCTCATAACCCTTAAGTTTCTTCTGCACGAAAGCAGATACCACTGCATATGATCTGAAAGCAAGAAACAAGAAATTTCAGCTCCTTGTTTAACTCGATGCGTAAAATTACATCTGTTACATTTACTACGTGTATTCATCATAAATAGATAATAGAACTAGAAACCGATATAGATTTCCATAAAAATACATACCTACATGTATATAAAAATCAATACATGAGTGTGGGTTTGAGTTTGTGAACGTGTATGAGAGAGAGAAGTAAATACAAGTCGAAGAAAGCAATACCTTTGCCTGTGTTCTCAAACATCAATGCCAGCAACATTGGGTAGAAAGCTGTAGTCTTCAATGCAGAGTTATAACAAGCATGCCTTCAAAAGTTATGCAGGTACCCAACAGGAGCTAGCACAGAAAATCCGACCCTTCCATCCCTGCAGCATCCATTGACCATCTTCTTCGATCACAAAATCAGTGTGGTACCCTCCTGTCTTCAACTTACCCCTGAATTTTTTTAACAGCTCCTGATTCAAAGGGAGCATCTTGAAACCAGCCCTCATGTTGTGAACCTGCCAGTGCTTGTATGTCTCGGGCCTCTCAACCCTTTCTGCACCCTCACAAGCAATTATATTCATAACTTCACGCCCATAGAACTCTCTCTCTAAGTTTACCCTCTCCTGACCTTCCTGACCTTCACGGGACATAGTAATGTCAAACATATCAAATATTGAAGAGTAGTAGAAAAGTGCCTCACGAAACCGAGTGACAAAGAAGGGGGCATTGTGGGATCCATTAAGAACAGAATGAGTGAAAATGTCCGGATTCATCTTCCTAATTAACTTCAGAACAGCATCCCTTGGACTATCCACGTCAACTGTCTCATCAGGTAGTATCCTAAACCGGAAGAGAGAGTTCACAGCAAGCACCTCATCACTCTGTATATTCAGGTCCTCAATTTTGATAGTTTCCCATTTCTGTGCTATGCCATGGTATTGAAATCGAACATTAAAGCGTTCACAATACTTTGCCAAGCGACGCCCTGTCTCCTCAACCAATTCTGCAGGTCGGAAACCAGGTTGTGGAAGCTCTATCCCAGTGATTCGAAGTTCCAGGGCTCCACCAGGTAGGGCTGAGAGGTATTGGATAAGGATGGGCCACTGGAAACCATATAGGATACCAAAATCAATAATATGGAGCTTTTTTTTGGTTGAATTCATAGCTAAATCCAAAATCATTTTGTTTGAGAAGAATGTCGATATCATCCTGAATGGTGCAGCTGAAAGATAAAGCTGGTAAGCTTTCAACCTTTCTGCAGCTGTAATCCTCTTGGAAGCTAGGGTTGCATAAATCTGGCTTCCAGTGCCAGCCAAGCGTGCCTCAAGACCATTGGCAAAGATATGGGCTACCCTCTGAGACCCATTACCAAAAGGAGAAGCGTGCTGCCTAATCTGCTTAAGTTGTTCTTTGGCAGTCCTGCGATCATCAATAGCAACAGATTGCGCGCAATTAATCAAGAGTGTCCTCAAATCCACCACTTCATTTTTGTTGCCCTGTTTCTTAGCACGAGTCTTTGCGCCACTAGATCCATGTGGTTGTCCATTCTGCTGGGAGGTCTTGGTTGCTTCAGTCTGCTGCACTTCTTCTTCTCCATTACAGCCATTATGGCACACAGGGTCCACTTTCATACCAGTAAATAGCAAAACCCTATCAAACATCTCGGACAACTCAGACTCGTCCATGTAAACTGCTGACTGCTTGCTACTCCTCTCCTCTTCTAAATCAATATCCTCCCGGTGATGATTCTTCCTACCCCTAGATCCATTCGGCAAGCTGTCCCTGCCCTCCTCCACCTTGACTACAACCTCTGAAGCCCTTTCCTCCGATTGTGGAGGCAATTTATAGCTATCCAAATCAATAATCAATTGATTATTTTTAGGAAGGAACTTGCTAGCTTCCTCCATCCCTCTCTTGAACTGCAAAATGGATTCGCTATTGCTAAACATGTTTGAAACCAGATGGCTACTCATAGAAGAGTCCATTAGACCATTAGAATCATCACTGAAACCCCTTGTAGAGTCAAATGACAACTGCGAAGTAGGTTTCAAAGTGGTCTCAAAAGGGTATCCGGAAGGAGAACTTAGTACAGATTGTTTTTGCTCTCCTGGGTCAACAATCCATTGAGAATCAATGGAATTGGTACCGTTAGTATTGGTTCCAGCACTCTGCTCACTGGAACCACCAAATAAAAAATCAGGGCTTTCAACATTTGGATTGAAGTAAAGAGGGGATGGTTGATTGGGGGAGGCAGGGTACTTTTCGCCAAGAACGTCATATAACGATTTCTCAGTTTCTTGTAGGGCCAAAGGATCATGAAACATACTGGGTTTCTGCTCTATGTTCTCCTCCATGATTATGGAATTTATGTAATTAAGAACATTACCAGAAAAGTCACTATCATCTTGAGAGTCCACTTCTGAGTTTCTACTCGATGTCTGCGCAAAGAAACCGGGTTCGGGAGAATCGGGGGGAAGGAAAGAAGGGTCAACGGAATCGAAATCTAGCAAAGGAAGGTCATCTTTAAATTTGAACATGTTTGCAAGATTTTCAGGCTGTAAGAAGGAATCATCGTCGAAATTGAAAGAGTCGGTAGAATCGGAAAATTCAGTGAAACGTGGATCCATGATAGCAAAATCAAAAGTTAACCTTAAGAAACCTAAAACCCAAAAATTCGAAAAAAATTAAAAGTAAATTCTAGAGACCGCCAGGACACCATATTGATATAGCTTAGCAATGGGTATACCCTAAAAACAATTGAATCATGGTAGATCATACATGTATCATTGAAAAATAACAAAATTTCAAGCTAAAACAGAACCTAAATACAAGTTTGCTAGTAATTCATTCGGTCAACAATTTACCTGATATCATCAACTCAGAATCACAAACACAGAGAGAGAGAGAGAGAGAGAGAGAGAGAGAGAGACCGAACCTTGTACAAGAAGCTAGACGGAGCATTCATAAAAAGAGATTGAAAGGATGAAAGAGAGTAATGATAATATATGAACGGATGAAAGAGAGTAATGATAATATATGAAAGAGAGTAATGATAATATATGAATAAATGAATGGATGAAAGAGAGTAACTTTTCTTTTTTTTGGAACTGAGTGGAAGGAAGACTCTGAGTGGAAGGAAGACCGCTAAAATTACAAGAGAGTCTTGACCGGCAAGTACCGGTCAACTCCGCTCTGCTCCTTGGCTTGGGAGTTGTGTTGTGTCCTAATTGTACAGGCTCCAGATCTGTATGCCGTTGACCACATTAGTGTCCTATTCGTAAGACCAATAATTGTTTTTTTTTTTTAATTAGTGTATTATATTATTATAATTATACTAAGCCTTCATTTGACATCCTAATCTTAACCTAAAATAGTCATAAAATGACAAATAAATTAAAAAATCAATAAAAATATAATGTCATATCTAAATTATAATCATTTCATTTTTCTTCTCACAAAAATTAAAAAAATCAAAAAATTCATCCCAAACGAGACTTTAATCCAGGCTAAGATGGTTAAAAAAGTAAAAAGTCAAAAAATCAATTCACATCCCAAATGAACCCTAAAAATCAAAGATTGTTGAGTGGATTGGCTTTTTAGTCATTTTAATTTTGGTTAAAAAATTTTATTTTGGTTAAATTTTTTGACTTTTTTTAATTTTTATAAAAAAAATAATAATTATGATTTAAATATAATATTTTATTTTATTAATTTCTTAATTTATTGAACTATTTTGACCTTTAGTCTAACCAACAGGCCACGCGAATGCTCCATATCTATCCACCCCCACGTCGGGGGCTGTGAGTCTATGCCTTAAAAGAAATAATAATAATAATAATCCTGCAAAAATAAAAAAATAGTGCACAGCTAACAATTACGGCTTCTCTCTACTTTTTGCACAGCTTTTCGTAATTAGTCAAAAAGTCATCCCAAACATACAAGTTTTTTTTACCTACCTTTTTAGCCAATTAACTAAAAAATTACTAAATTAGCCTGTTCCCAAACGAGGCCTGAAAGGATGAAAGAGAGTAATGATAATATATGAACGGATGAAAGAGAGTAATGATAATACATGAAAGAGAGTAATGATAATATATGAATAAATGAATGGATGAAAGAGAGTAACTTCTCTTTTTTTTTTGGAACTGAGTGGAAGGAAGACTCTGAGTGGAAGGAAGACCGCTAAAATTACAAGAGAGTCTTGACCGGCAAGTACCGGTCAACTCCGCTCTGCTCCTTGGCTTGGGAGTTGTGTTGTGTCCTAATTGTACAGGCTCCAGATCTGTATGCCGTTGACCACATTAGTGTCCTATTCGTAAGACCAATAATTGTTTTTTTTTTTTTTAATTAGTGTATTATATTATTATAATTATACTAAGCCTTCATTTGACATCCTAATCTTAGCCTAAAATAGTCATAAAATGACAAATAAATTAAAAAATCAATAAAAATATAATGTCATATCTAAATTATAATCATTTCATTTTTCTTTTTACAAAAATTAAAAAAATCAAAAAATTCATCCCAAACGAGACTTTAATCCAGGCTAAGATGGTTAAAAAAGTAAAAAATCAAAAAATCAATTCATATTCCAAATGAATCCTAAAAATCAAAGATTGTTGAGTGGATTGACTTTTTAGTCATTTTAATTTTGGTTAAAAAATTTTATTTTGATTAAATTTTTTGACTTTTTTTAATTTTTATAAAAAAAATAATAATTATAATTTAAATATAATATTTTATTTTATTAATTTCTTAATTTATCGAACTATTTTCACCTTTAGTCTAACCAACAGGCCACGCGAATGCTCCATATCTATCCACCCCCACGTCGGGGGCTGTGAGTCTATGCCTTAAAAGAAATAATAATAATAATAATCCTGCAAAAATAAAAAAATAGTAGGAGTGGTGGGATCACCTCAACTGGAGGTTTGAAGGATTATTCTTTTAGTTTTTTAACTTTTTCCCCACGTCGGGGGCTGTGAGTCCATGCCTTAAAAGAAATAATAATAATAATAATCCTGCACCAATCAAAAAAAATAGTGGGAGTGGTGGGGTTACCTCCACTGGTTGTTTGAAGGATTATTCTTTTAGTTTTTTAACTTTTTAATTTCATTTGAGTTGATTTTTTTTTCACTTTTATGAGAGTAAAAATAAAATAATTATAATTTAAATGTAATATTTTATTTTATTTACTTTTTAACTTATTTTATCTCTTTGTAACTAATTTAGCCAAAGAGTTAACCCAACCCAATTGCTACCCAACACTACGCAAAAGGAGGTTTTTAGTGAGTAGAGTTAAGAAAATTCTAAGTGCTTAATTCAAAATTTTAAATTTTTTAATTTAAAAAATAATTAATAAATCACACACTAGCATTTTCTTTTTAAACAAAGAATGCATTTTTATTCTTAAATCATTCATCTCTTAATTCATCTCTTAATTAATAAATCATTAAACAAAGAAAGTTAAAAATGCATTATTATTATTTCTTAATTCATCTCTTTGTTTAAAGGACCATTCTTAAATCATTCATCTCTTAATTAATAAATCACACACTCAAAAAAAAAATTTCTAATTAAAAAAAATTAATAAATCACACTAAAAAAATATTTCATAGTAAAATATTTTCTATTAAAATATTTTAAAATTTTCACCATAAAACATAAAATAATTTATTATATAATTAAAATTTCGTAATATTTTTTTTTTCTCACTATGGCCATTTATTACTCAACGTATATATCAAAACTTATTATTTTCATTCACAGTAAACATTAATAGGATTTCTTTAAGATTCAAACTCTCAACTTAATTTTTTTTAATGATGAAAATACTAAGTGTCATTATTTGTTGCATTTTAATTATTTCATAATTAAATTCATGAAATTTTATATTAAACCTTTAAATTATGCTACCATAATTACCATTTCATGTTACTTCCTTAATTTATGTTTACCATTCCAAATTTATTTTCAAAATTGCTTCCCCACGATTGCATTGATGCATGATTTTGATACATTTATATACACATATGAAAAGTAATTAATTTTTTAACTTACAATTTAAACATTATTGATTCTTTAACATGTCCTAGGCTTCTATCCAGTCCTCCATTAGACTGGAGAGGTACTGTTGGGTTTTGTGAACTCATTTTTGGGTCTCATTTTGATAATCTGAACCATTCATATTTTAAAATTTGTCGAATACATAATCTCTGTAAAAAAATAAAGTCGATCCGCCTTTATTTAGAATGTGGGTTGACTTTTTGACTTTTTGGCTAATTTAGCCTAGAGTTAAAAAGTCTCGTTTGTAAGAGACTTTTTAATTTTTTTTGACTTTTGTGAGAGAAAAAATAAAATGATTATGATTTGAATTTGATGTTTTGTTTGATTGGCTTTTTAGCCTATTTTGTTTTTTTGTGACTATTTTAACCTAGGCTTTTTATACCAAATGAAGTCTCGGATAACGACAACTATATATTTGTATCAGTTTTGTATATAAAAAAAATAGATAGTAAGAAAATAAACGGTTTATACAAAATTCATCCAAACACGTAATTTTCGTTATCTAATCGACTTGATTTTTTGCAGTGATGATCTACTCGACAAACCCTAAAATGTGAACGGTTTAGATCATCAAAATGGGACCCAAAAATTGGTTCATTGAATGTATAATCATATTATTAAAAACTCCTTAACGGTCACGAATCGATTATGATATAATTTATACATAATGTTTAAATTTGTTATTATCAAATATTTTTACTAAGATTAAAGCTAAAATATGACATAAAATTTAGAGTGGTTCTATCTTAGATAATTTTTTAATATATGAATATATGTCACTATTTATTTCATAGTGTTAACATAAATATATAATTTTTTTACCTAAGTTCAAAATTTTTAATAGATATCTATCAAATATGTTCATATTTTTTATTTAAAAAATAAAAATACTTATAGATATTTTAATAAATAAATAGGTCAAATGATTCATAAGTTGGGCATAGATCAAGGCATTTTTTAATGATTAGGTAAATGTCACATTGGTATAAATATACAAGTCATTTATGTATAACTCTAATAAAAATGAATAAAATTTAATTGATTATATCATTTTTACTACATACTTTAGATAAATTTTATATTATTATTCAATTTTAAAACCAATTTTTGTTTATTTATTTATACTCGTGCACAGCACAATCAAGGCTATTTTACCGGCTCTTAACACAAAATAAAAATAAAACTAACTAAGCTTTTAAAAAGAAAGGTAATTTTTTTTATTTAGTAGTTTCAGAATACAAAAATTGCTAAAATTTATAAGTTATTGACACAAAATAAAATTAAAACGAAACTAATTAAGATTTTAAAAAGAAAAGTGATACTATTTTTTTTATTTAGTAACTTCATAATACAAAAATTGTTGAAATTTATAAGTTATTTACACAACAAAATTAAGAAATAATAATGTGATCCCTTGAATTTTTTTTTTAATTAAGTAACTTTAGAATACAAAAATTGTTAAAAATTATTAGTAGTAAAAAAAAATAGAGTAGAAATTTGTATAATAAGATATCATAAATAATTATTTTTTAACTACACAAAATTTAAATTTTAAAAAATGATAGTTGTCATTTAACTCTTATCTAATTTTTAACTCACTACACCTCAATTCTAATATTTTAGTTTTTTTTTTTTTTTACAAATTTAAAAAAATTATAGGTGACATTTCATTCTTATCTAATTTTTAAACTACTACCCTCTTCTATTTTTCTATTATTAGAGTTTTTAAATTTTTTTTTTTAGGTTTATCTTATTTTATTTTTGAATTTTTAAATTTCAACTTAATTTTTTTTATTCAGTGGGTCTTTTGGCAAGTTGGGTTAAAAGCTGCATTTGCAGCTTGTGGGCTAAAAAAGCTAGGGG